AAGCCATCCATGACTACAGGAGAGAGCTAAAGACTTGGAGTGTAAGCAAGGATCATTTATGTGTTTCTGAATTGTAGAGAAATAAAATTACCAGTAAATGTAGAAATCCTCACTGCTATCTTTAGCTCTTACCTGGAACCAAGTTTTCCACCACTGAATATAGTGGAAGATGAAAATATGAAACAATATTTTTGTCATCCTTTGTATGTGCATTGTGTGCCCAGGCTATGCCAGAACTGAATAGGATTATGAAGTCAATTGCTAAATTTTTAATATACATTTATTTTTTTAACGCCTTAAGGACACATGACATGTGTGACATGTCATGATTCCCTTTTATTCCAGAAGTTTGGTCCTTTAGGGGTTAAATGGATCATCACTTAAAAAAAAAACAAAAAAAACATTAAGTGCGTGCAACTTGGGCACTGATGGAGCGGGTCGCATGTTGAGGCGGCTCTGCTGGGATCGACTCCGCAATTGCACCACAATACAACACCATGTTTGAGGCACAATCAGTCCGTTCATCTGTCCTGCAACCTCACACCATGTCCAAGGCTAAAGAGATGGGGAAGTGGTCTGCTATTTTGCCGCTACCCTTGTCCCAAACCACACTGAAATATGTGGAGGGAAGCCCTAAGATGGTGTCAGACGCCTCTGAGTCTGATGAGGGGTCCAAACATGAAACCTCAAGTAGTAACGCCATCAGGCTGGAGCAGCCAAGTCCTTGGCTGAGGACATAACACACTTCCTATCAGACTTCAGGAAGGAACTGAAGGACATTAAGGCAGATATTAGATCAGCAGACATCAAGAAATAAATTTCAGACCTGGGTTCCAGAACTACTAAGATGGAAGATAAAGTGGGTGAAATAATAGTCCACCACAATTCATTTTCAGATGCACACTTAGCCCTAAGGTAAGAGGTACACTTACTTAAACTCAAAATTACAGACAGGACAAGGAGGAACAACCTCCGCATAAGGGCAATACCAGAAGATATGAAGGCCTCTAATTTGGGGGAATTTGTCAAAGACTTCCTGCTAGAATTGTTACCATCTTTACAGCCATCTCTATTTATGCTTGACCGTATGCACAGGCTCCCAAAAGTCGCTGTTGCCCTTATTTGATGCCTCAGACTTCTGTCTGGCTTCTTGAACCCAATGTCATTCCTTAGTAATGCTTAATTTAATTTCATATAACGAGTTGGCCCTCCTTGCCAGGACCCATTGAATGTAACTACCTACCTACCCCACACTGTGCTTTTGCAGTTTGGTCACTGGCACTTTGTTCCTGGGATGTACCACCACTAATTTAGTGTTCTTTCAATGCTGGCTTTGCTCTCATGCTTTCTCTTTCTTCTCCTTTTGCACCTTATCTATATGCACTGGCGTACATACCAGGGTCGCAGGGGTCGCGACTGCGACCGGGCCCGGCCCATCAGGGGGCCCGGCCGCCCCTGCGACCCGGTATGTACCCACAGGGCCAGCCTCTTCCCCTGGGGGGCCCAGGAGCCGACCACCCCAGGGCCCCCCTGAGGCTGGACCTGCTGACCCCGGGTGGCCGGCCGGGCAGGCAGGCGGGCGCGCGAGGGAGCACTCAGTGTTTCCTCTTCAGCTCCCTCGCACACCGCACTGATACCGGAGCCGGAAGATGACGCCATCTTCCGGCACCGGCATCCCTATGCGGCGCGCGAGGGAGCTGAAGAGGAAGCACTGAGTGCTCCCTCGTGCGCCCGCCTGCCTGCCCGGCCGGCCACCCACCCAGGAGCCCCACTGGACCCCAGGGAATAATCCCCCCCAGCACTCCAAGAGGTAAGGAGGCTGGGGGGATTATATTAAAAAAAATCATGTGTGAGTGTTAGTGTGTGTGTGTGTGTGAGTGTTAGAGTGAGTGTTAGTGTGTGTGAGTGTTAGTGTGAGTGTTAGAGTGAGTGTTAGTGTGAGTGTTAGAGTGAGTGTTAATGTGTGTGAGTGTTAGTGTGAGTGTTAGAGTGAGTGTTAGTGTGAGTGTTAGTGTGTTAGTGTGTGTGTCTGCTAGTGAGTGTCAGTGAGTGTGTTACTGTGTGTGTCTTACTGAGTGTGTGTGTGTTAGTGAGTCTGTTTGATGTCTGTTAGTGAGTGTGTTTGTCAATGAGAGTGTATGTTTTGTAAGTGAGTGTGTATGTATGTCTGTCGCTGACTGTATCTCTGTCAGTAAATGTGTGTGTCTGTTAGCTAGTGTGTATGCGACTGTAAGTGTGTGTGTGTGTGTGTCTTCAGCACTTACTTTTCTCCAGCGCCGGACTCCCTTGGCGCTGAGGATCCCTCAGCCTCTCAGCTCCGAATGCGACCGCGCACGCATTCAAACCGCCCATAGGAAAGCATTACTCAATGCTCTCCTATGGACGTTCAGTGTGCTCCTCTAGCGGCTGTCCGTGAGACAGCCACTAGAGGCTGGATTAACCCTCAGTGAAACATAGCAGTTTCTCTGAAACTGCTATGTTTTCAACTGCAGGGTTAAAACTAGAGGGACCTGACACCCAGACAACTTCATTGAGCTGATGTGATCTGGGTGTCTGTAGTGGTCCTTTAAAGGACCACTATAGTGCCAGGAAAACATACTGGTTTTCCTGGCACTATAGTGCCCTGAGGGTGCCCCCACCCTCAGGGACCCCCTCCCGCCCGGCTCTGGAAAGGGGTAAAACTTACCTTTTTCCAGCGCTGGGCGGAGAGCTCTCCTCCTCCGATTCTCCTCCCCGTCGGCTGTATGCGCACGCACGGCAAGAGCTGCGCGCGCATTCAGCCGGTCACATAGGAAAGCATTCATAATGCTTTCCTATGGACGCTGACGTGCTCTCACTGTGAAAATCACAATGAGAAGCACGCAAGCGCCTCTAGCGGCTGTCAATGGGACAGCCACTAGAGGAAATAGGGGAAGGCTTAACCCATTCATAAACACAGCAGTTTCTCTGAAACTGCTATGTTTATGAAAAATGGGTTAACCCTAGCTCGACCTGGCACCCAGACCACTTCATTAAGCTGAAGTGGTCTGGGTGCCTAGAGTGGTCCTTTAAGTGTGTGTGCATCTGCATGCACTGGCGTACATACCGCGGTCGCAGGGGTCGCAGCCCTGTAACCCCTGCGACCAGGTGCCCACCGCCATGTGTTGCGGCCCGGCCCGCGCGGGGGGGCCCACGGATCACTTTTCGCACCGGGGCCCCATGGGTCATGTGTACGCCACTGTCTATATGTCTTCTCTCACTACCAACGTACCTGATAGGCTGCCCTTGCTGAGTGGGCTTCTCTCCCCGATAGGTTGACTTTTGCTCACAGATGTCTTTCTTATAGGCCTCAACTGCATTGTCTTTCAAATTTCATGTTACTGCCCTTTATCATTTTCCTCAGAATGCTGAGGTTACAGATGCATTCTAACATTATTTCTCACCTTTGTGGATGTATATTTTGTCAATATTTTGTGCTAACTGTGAATTAGTCTCTTGCAGATTTCAACAGAAGTGGGACCTTTGGAGGCTCGGGAAGGGGAGTCGGCATGGCACTCGGAATATTATTTCAAAGTTCCATAAAGAGGCATGGAATTGCGAGTTTACCACACAATTTCATCTTACCACATCACAATGACACTTAAAATTCTCTCCCTAAACACTAAAGGCTTAAACCTCCCAATCAAGCAACACCAACTCTTCTGAGAAATGCACAGGTCTCAGCCACAGGTGGTTTGTGTCCAAGAAACTCGCTAGGTTAAAACACTTGTACCTGCACTTCCCTAGTTGTCCTGTGGGCTATCAATCCACGGCCCCACTAAATCGGCAGGAGTGTCTATTCTAATTCATAAATTCCTTTCATTACAATTACAATCTAAGATCTTAGATGTTCATGGGCGATATCTCATCTTGATCTACACAATCAATAATCAAGAGTATACAATTGTTAATCTGTACACCCTAACACCAAACAAATAAATTTACTCACTACACTCTTTAACAAAATTAAGGCTAAAGCCAAAGAACTCGTGATTTGTAATGATTTTAATATCGCCTTCGACCCATTGGTGGATACCTCGAGTACCATGCCAGGTCCACTCTCCAAAAAATGCTTTATCACTGGGCTCCACATTGTATTACATGTGTCACTCTCATGGCTCTCCACGTAAAGATTTTACCTTCTATTTGGCCTGTCACAATAACTTCTGAATTGACCTTTTTTTGTTAGATATCTTTTGCAAAATTTAGTGGAGTGTGCAGTTACTCCTGTGCATGGGTCAGACCATAATGCTATTCCCTTAGCCCTGCTTTCACACAACACATTCCAAGCAAAGGGTTCATGGAGTGTTAATGATTCTATTTTGGCTGACAGACCAGCTCAGGTGTATTTTACCGCCTACCTCAAAGAATACATACCTGACATTTTTGCCTCTTCACTATGGAACACGGACAAAATCTGCTTTCAGGGTGAATTCATAAAATTCTTAAAAGGGAACATCTTAAACATATTTCTTAACTTGAATCAGAGTTGGATTCTTACACCCAAACCTGCAAAATGTCTTCCACCCACTCCTTATTGAATTTGATAGCCTCTCATAAAGAGGAGCTCTCTAACTGCATCTCCACCAAATTGAACAAGAACCTCACATACATACGTACATACCTCACCTGCAAACTAAGGGCCTATAGGGTACACACCACTATTGCATTTATACACTCTGTGAAATGACCTAACCTGTATAACCCAACTACCATCGCTGAGAAGTTCGCAACTTTATACTCCAAACTCTACAATCTCAAAGATGACAGACATTACACCACGCCACTCATCCTATGATCTGTGCATTTCTGGATCATTTGCATCTCCTCTAAATTTCAAACTTACATTTAGATACTTTATCAGCCCCTATATTCATAGATTACGGTTGCCATCAAAATGTTAAAACCCAGAAAATGCCCTGGCCCAGATGACCTTTCGGGCCTCTATTATAATACATTTGCATCTGTTCTCATCTCACCCTCATTTCCTATCTAGAGCATTGAATTGAAAGCTTGTTAGCACTACTCTGGGAAACCAAGGGAATTCAAACTTTCTGAGACGTTTACATGGTAACCATTCTATGCTACCTATGTGAATCACATGACCTATCACCACAAGACTTATAAGTACCTGCAAATTATACATTTTCTAAGCACACATGCAGCAGATTTAAACCTCTCGCTTCTCTTCCCTTAATATAACTAATGCATAAATATACATTTGCCAGGCAGAGTATCCCTATAAGCTATCAAATCCTTAGAGACTCTTACCAGCATAGGGCTTAAATGAGAAAAGGAGTGGGCTTCCTCCCATGAGAACCTTAGGGGCGCACTTATAATGCCTCACACTTGGAACTTTTATATAAAATCATCCTGGGCTCATATAATCCCAGGTCAACCAGCATTATATTGGAGGGAGTGTGTTCTTGTTGGATCACATGGCCATGTCTGGTGGAGTTGGCCAAAAGTCCAAACACTATGGAGTTCAGTTTTCGCAATAATATCAAGGGTGTTTAACACCCACACACCACCTTCCCTGGGAACGGCCTTATTGGGACACCTTATTTCCGGGACACCTGGTCTCAGGTACATAAATTACTCATTTGTCAAATCTTTTTAGCAACTAAGAAGGCACTTTTCAGGTGTTGGATGACTGTTGAAGTTCCTGCTGTAGCAACAGTTCTTAACATTCTGATTCAAAATAACACATGGGAAAGGACGGTTTACTGTTACAGAAACCAAGAAAACCTATGATAGGATTTGGGGACTGTTGGAGGAATTCTGCTCTGTGTCGTGTAATCTGGGGTTGATAATGTAAGGAGGTCTGCCTAGGGGATAAGGGGAGCTTCACAGGAGGATGTGACACCTGAGACCAAACAGGAACATTTCTCAGATGTTATTTATGTGCTTTAGCTCTATTCTTTTGTGCTTTCTTCTTTTAACCATTTCTTTCTCTCTCCTCTTGCTGCTGCTGTATCTTTCCTTTTTATAGTGTTTGCCTAGGTCAGGGCGCATTGTGTTAAGAAGAAGCTGCAAAGAGTTTCTACAAATGTAATGTCTATCTGGGGAAGAATTCTCTACTGTAATTACACTACTGTGGGCAACGCAGGGTTTTACTCATTATGTTTTCTAGTAAACTGATCTACCATCATTGTGTCTATGCAATATACTGTGGAAATGTGCCCTATTGCTCCTTTTTCATGAGTGTTTAATTATGGCTGTTGTGTTGGATAAGTCTTGGGAAAATTTAAATAAAAACTTTTATTGGAAAACAAATAAAAACAAACACTAACACAAGTTCTAGGTGTTTTACTACATTTTGTTTTTTAATTTATTTTTTTCAATAGAAATGATAGTTCCAGTTTTCAGAGACAGAAGTGGTTTTTCGCACAGACTATTGTAAGGTAAAATTTGTCTATTACAAACGTGCGTGCTACCTAGAGGAATGACAAACGGTTGACGATGGGAACTATTAACCTTACTTTTAATTTTTACGGTGTCCGTTACCAAGAGGTTATGAAGGTTAAAAAAAATTTGAAGTTGGATGTAGTATCTGTAGGCCTGGATTCGCCATCAGGATAACCAGGGCAAATGCCTGGTAGGCTGCAATGGCCACAGGGCGAGGCAAACAGGGGAGATCAAAGACCAACCCATAAAGGTATATGTGCTGAACAAATACAGTGCATTTTCTCAATGCCAGAGTTCTTCAGCAGGGCTCTGCGTGTGGACTGCCCTAGAGGTACATTAAACTGGTATTCCCACTTTGGGTGGGGAGTGTCTTTGGGGGTGTCTGCGTGTCATTCCCTGCCAACCTTTGGTCCTGGAAGGTGGGCAGGGAATATTGCCAGGTATGAAATTTGGCTATTCAAGACCAATGGTCACCCAGTACTTACATAACATTACTGTTGATACTCTCCCAGATACTGAAAAGCAATGAAATTGAATATCCAGTCTTTGAAAAACGTTCAATAATTGTGCCTTTGTATAATTGCAGCAACATTTTTGAAAAAAGAGAATGATAATGATAATACAAATGATCAGACCTCCTTTAATAAAAAAGAGATACATATTATAATGCAATACAGGGTAGAATATGTCATACTGTTAACATTATATATATGGTATGTAAATGACACTGCTAAGGCTTATGTTGCAATAGTTTGATTGAAAACATTGAATGAGGAAAACAAAATTCAATATAGAACATTTAAATGAAACATTACAATAATAAATACATTCATGACTCATACAGCAAATACTCCATATGAGCATGAGAGTCTTAAAACACTTTTTTGGTTGTGCTGCAATATGCAACATTGGTATTTTTAAAACTTCCCGCAGGACTTCTGTAATGGCTTCTGGGTTAGAGGGAATCTTCCAAAATCACTCCACTGACACTGATTGGAAGTTGCCAAAGTGCAGTGACATTTCCCTAACTATAGTGTCTATTTACATTCATTTATAGTCTATCAGAATAAATAGTTTGTGATTGGTTTCATTTTTAGACATCATACTCGACAGCAATAACTATCTCAAGATTAACTAAAAAGTTCAAATAAATTGTGGTTCTTGTTTACAAATCTCTACATAACATTGCGGATACCTACCTTTCCTCACTAATACACAAGTATGGCCCCTACGCTCTGCCGAAGATTTCTGTCTGTTCTCAGTTCGTACTCAAACCTCTGACTCCCACCTGCAAGACGTCTCTAGGGCTGTACCATTCCTATGGAACTCCCTTTACTGCTCTGTTGGACTCTCACCCAGTCTAAGTTACTTACATTGTTAATAGCTTTCCCTCCCCACACCTTGGTAACCCACCCTGCTTCCTTTCCTGCAACTGTGTCATCCAATAAACAAACCCTTTTTCTGTAAACCAAGCATGTCAAACTCAAAGGCTAGCACGGGCCATATAAACAAGGTTTAATTTAGGTGGGCCGCAAAAAAAACCAAACCTTAAGTTTTCATAGAAACGTAGGTTTGTTTTAAAAAGTACAGTATAAAAAAAAATAACATCCACCTCTACTAAATACCAGTCCCCCCTCTGTACTAAATACCAGTCCCCCCCCCTCTGTGCTAAATACCAGTCCCCCACTCTGTACTAATTTACAGCCCTCCCTCTGTACTAATTCACAGTCCCCCCTCTGTATTAAATCCCAGCACCCCCCTCTAGTAAAAGAGGGGGGAGGAGTCTGCGCTAGATAGCAAAAGATAGGAGCTGCAACCCTCAAAAGGGAATCCCTAAAGAACCCTCAATAAGATATAGAAAAAGAAAGAAGGGGTGAAGGGCTGCGCTCAATTAAAAATAAGAAGATAAATAAAATATAATATATAAATATAAAATGTAAAATAAGTGGATAATAAAATAATGAAATAAAATAATACAATAAAAAAATACAATAAGAAAGATAATGAATATGGGGATAAAGCAAAGTCCGTGCACTAATAAGAATCAAACTTGAAAAGACCAATAAAATGCATAAAAAACGTCTCACTGATATGTAGATAAGCTGTATATACAGTCCTCAAAGATTAATCCTTCCGAGTTTCCAGGGATATTTTACATTTTATATTTATATATTATATTTTATTTATCTTCTTATTTTTAATTGAGCGCAGCCTTTCACCCCTTCTTTCTTCCCCCTCTAGTAAACCCCAGCCCTTGTTTAAAAAAAAAAAAAAAACAATATTAGCCAACAAGCAGACTCCACTCACATTGGCACTGGCACCGCTGCCAGTATGCGACTCCGGAGTCCAACCTCTGGTATACCCAACCTCTGGTATACCCATACTGTGCCAAACAGATCCTCCTGCTACTCCTTAAAAACCTATGAATGTGGGGCATGTTAATGTCACATCATGTGGTGTTGCATGCCCCGCCAGGTTCTCCACTGTCCAGCTGTGGCCATCGAAACACTGACCAACACACACTGACAGAGACACACACACTCTCTGACATACACACACACACACACATACTCTCTGACAGACACAAACTGACACACTGACCGACAGACACAGACAGACAGACACACACATACATTGACAGACACACACAGTGACAGTCACACACACACAGTGACAGTCACACACACACACAAACACACACAGTGACAGTCACACACTGACAGACACACACACTTCAACATTCTTGCACATACTCACATAATTTTATTTATTGCTCCCTACCTTTGGCAGCTGGTGTGGGACCTCTCCCTGATCTTCTCTTGAGAGCTCAGCATTCTTGCTCCTCACTGCTCCCTTGCACGCGCAGTTTAGTGATGCCTGTTGCCGGAATGACGTCATATTCCGGCGCCCGGCATCACTACAGATGAGCAGTGAGGAGCAAGAAGTATGAGCTCCCTCGCTGCCACCAGAGACATCTCCCCCGGCTGGGTAAATGAGCAGAGTAGGTACCTGCAATGTGGGGAAAGCAGGTGCCTACTCTGCTTTAGTAAGCATGTCAAGCTTGCGGGCCGCAAAAATATTCATTGTGGGCCGCATGCAGGCTGTGGGTTTGACATGCTTGCTGTAAACTATTCTAGCAACCTACTTTTTTTCCCATACATGAAAAACATCCTATCCATACCTCTTTTGCTATTTTACCCCACTCCCTCTAGAATGTAAGATGTTTATTTGAGCAGGGCCCTAAACAGTGGTGTATGACAGATGACAGATCTCGGGCACCCACTAATTTAAATTTACCTGCTGCGTCCTTCCAAGGCCACACCTCTTCCTGTTAACTAACACATATTTTGACTGACAGACCCCCACTCACGGACCAGCACACACTCTCAGATACACTGAAACACACACACATACACTCACTGATTTGACACAATCTGACGACACATACAATCTTTCAGACACACACTGACAGACACATACACTCACTGACTGAAACACATAAGCACTGACAGACGCGTCCACTTACTGACAGACACATTCACTGGACATACACACTCACAGACACTCACTGACAGACACACACACACATTCACTGACAGACACAAACTCACTGACAGAAACACACACTCACACAATGACACACACATCCACTGACACACACTCACATACACTGACACACACACACTAACTGACACACAATCACTCAAATTCACTAACACACACATTCACTCACTCACACACACATGCACACACACTCACATTCACTGGCACACAC